GAACATGTTTTCATTCAGTAGGATCATGAACCTACTTGATGACCAACATGTGGATGATCTTACACTATCCTTACAACTGTTAGAGGTGCATACTTACAGGGATAAGGTGGTGCCTTGAGTTGGTGCTCAGAGCCAATATATCAGGGATAATTGGGTCCATGGGATTAGACTCTATAAAAGCATTTAAAAGTACCCAATTTATCAATGTAGTGATTCTGTTAAATATTGGATGTAAGGTAGTGAGAGACGATGAGTTAAAGGAAGAATTTACCTCATTTATCAAGTGTGTTTGTGTTTGTGCTACAACAATAGAAAGGACTTGGGGAACACTTAAATATATATTCATATGCCAAAACATGTTATGCAGTTAGACTTTTCTTTAGTTCAATTTTATTCTGGCATGTTTAGTTTAGATTTACTTTCTACTGCACACTGTTACATTCTACTGCACACTATTTTGTCCCATTTTTATAGTGTTTAAATTTTTTGAATTACTAACTTGAGCAAGAATTAATGGAGTCAAATTTGGATAGTTCATTATGTGCATGAATTCACTTACAACTCTACCTAAAATTCATTTAGCTCAAGCCTATCATGAACTACTAGTCCATTTCTAAACCTAAACCATCACTCTCCACTCTCATCGAATCACCATTTTTTAATTCAAAATATCAAATAATGTTGATTTTGTTATCTAGTATTAGTTGACATGTTCGAAACGACGACTTCGATATTTTATGCTCTCAAAATATTTTTGGCTCGTGTATGAAAAGAATGCTATATATTTGTATATACAATTTGCTAGTGAGAAAATATCTTACGCCGCAGTTATTAACAAGTGATTAGTTATTTATGTTACACTATTTTTAGCATATTTTGCCTAAATGGTTGATTTCTTAGAGATTATAGACTAAAAATTATCATGTAAAAAGTTTAAATACCAACAAGGTAACAAATGTATAATAATATTAATACAAACATAAAACATTTCAAAATAAAAAAATAATTAAAAAAACTTACACATAATAAAACTTAGATTGGTGAGGTACATGTCAATATTGGAGTTTTAAAAGACTATAGTGATGAAAGTGTGACTAAGCAATTCTAACTTCATCAAGGAGCTATCAGTTAATAATAGAAATATTAATAAGTATAATGAAATGGTCAATTAAACTATCTACTTCTTTTCTAACCTATTAAATGAGTTTGTTTATAATCATTTGAATCATGCTAGCCTACTCATTATTAACAGAGTTCTTTCTGTTGATGAATACTTTTCTCTAACAATTTGTCACTAATTAGAATATTTAGAAGACTTTATTTTCTATTGGCTCTAACAAAGCTCCTGTGTTTGATGTTTTCATCTCTAAATTTTTAAAAGCACTTGGTGCATTATTATTAATACTTGTATTTGTCCCATAAAATTAAACATTATGCTATTATATTGATCCCATAAAATTCACTTGCACATTCTCTCAATAATTTCAGACTCATTTTCCATGTAATACTATTTATGAAGTTATTGTCAAGCTTTTGGCTAATAGATTAAAACGCATACTCCCTAATATCATTCTTTAAAACCAAGCTGGTTTTGTCCATGAGCTTGATATTACCAATAATACCATTTTTGCTAATGAATTTCTATTTGGGTTTGATTTTAAAAGCCTCGTGAGAAGTTTTTTTTTTGCTTCAAAGTTAACTTGAATAAAACTTTTGATAGAGTTAATCGCTCATTTCCTTATAATAGAATGAAAAAAATGGGCTTCCCTCATGATTTCATTTGTTGGAATAAATCATGCACTTTTGAGATGAATTTTTTTGTTCTCATTAACAATGAATTGTAGGGATATTTCCCTTCTTATATTAGGCTTCAACCTGATTGTCTATTATCACCTTACTTATGCTCCATTGTTATGGATGTTTTTTGTCTCTTTGTCAGACAATTTTAATGGAAATATATATTGAAGCATCTTACATATGCTAATGGAAAAGCAGACACTTTCTTAATTAAATTTCTCCATGTCTTCAACTCTACATAGTTTCTTCATAGATTTTAATCTATGTATGAATGCTGCCAAATCAACAATTATTTCTCTAAATATGTTGAGTCATCCCTACAGCTACAACTATGTTCATTATGTAGCTTTACATCCAAATCCCTCCCTTGGTATTATTCGATGACATTATTAAACTATCTAAGCTCATTGTTGTTGTTTTCCATAAACAACTTGATAAATTACATGTTTAACTCTCTCTTTGGAAGCATAAAATATTTTATGTTGCTGACAGGCTACAACTCAAGAAAAATACCATTTGTTATTTGTTTTACTAGTTTAAATATTACACCTTGCCCAAAAGCTTAAGGAAGAAAATCACTTTCATGTTTAATAACTTTCTTTATAATAATGGTGCTATTAAGAATTTGTATCCTATCGTTTGAAGGAAACTCATTCTATCGAAACCTCATGGTGATCCCGGTATCCCTAACATTGATGTATTAATCTTATGTGCAAAGCTGAAGTTATATGGAGACATTTCAACTCCAACATATTACTCTCGAATTGATGCTCTAACCATTATGGTTCTTCTTAGCTTAGCACAGGCTCTCATACTTCCTCTTTCATGAAGTATTTAAAAAAGGTAGCCATTAAGAAAAGGTGTTGCTTATCTTTTTTTCTTCGACTCATTAATTATAGTCATCTTATGTTTTATTTGATCATTGGATTAGTGGTCACTCGCTATATGAAAAATTTGGTAATCATGTTTTGATTAGTTTAATTACACATACAATACTATTCTTAAAGATATTATTGCCAATGGAATATGTTATTTTTCCTCCCCACTTGCATCTGCACATTTGCACTCAATTGATTTATGTTATTTCTATTTTCATGTGTCATCTTACTTGCTTTTGGAAAGGTAGGAATAAGTATTCCCATAAGGTTGTTCATTGTTTTAATTATGAATGTTTTCCTTTAGCGGATTGGAAAAATTCGGTTTGGTTGAAAGGTCATTCTATTAAGTTTTCTTTAAATTTATGGAGGATCATTCAAGATGGTTTGAAGACTAATGATTCCATCATCATAGGAATTTATGCCATTCCTCACTATTTCTATACTTTTGGCATAGAAACTCTCCACTACATTTTCTTTGAATGCCTTTTTTTGTTTTACTCTTAGAAGTTGCTTCCCTAACAATTCTTTTTTTTCTCACTAAAAGCAACTTCTTCTGAGTTCCTTACTACCCTGACACTTTCAGTAACAAAATTTCTAAAATATTCTATTTACTTGTTGTACATTCCACTATTTATCATCTTTTGATGAAGTGAAATTGCCAGATTTCTAAAAATACTTCCTACCCTTTTAATGTTATCATTAAGAACATTCATCGAACTATTAAGTTGAAATTCAGGAAATGGAAATCTAAGCTTGAGATTTTCCATCTCATTAAGGAACTTAACAATATATATATATCT